GCTGCCGGAGGAGGTGGAGCCGATAAGGATACTGGATGCGGTGGGGGTCGCGCAACCACAGCTGCGTAGCTGAGAGGTGAAGATGGTGCAGGTGGTGCGTAGCTGACAGCTGAGAGATTAGATGCTGCTGAAGTGCATGCGTAAGGGGCCTGCACTGTAGGTAGGACATCGCAAATTTCAGTGCGTATGGCCTGCTGCAGTGTCGAAGGCAGACTTGCGGTGGGCGCGTCGCTATGCGGCAGCAGGGAGAGCTGTCGGGCAACTTCCTCCCTGATGAAGTCTTTGATCTGGTTGGACAGACTTTCTTGGCGAACGTTGACATTTGCGAGTGCGACAGCCGAGATCGAATCTGGTGGTGAGACAATCTGTCGGGCGATGGAACGCTGACGGCGTAATTCATCGAAGCTCTGGCACAGGCTTACGAGGATTGCCACCGAGGTCGGGCTTTTCGCTAGCAACATCTGGAATGCGCCATCCTCAATACCCTTGAGAATCTGCCGAATTTTCTCTTCTTCGGGCATAGATGGGTTAACACGCTTGCAGAGGTCGAGCACATCCTCAATGTAACTCGTAAACGTTTCGCCAGGCTGCTGGGCTCTGTGGCGCAGACGCTGGTCAGCGCGGAGCTTGCGGACCTCTGGTCGGCCGAACGCTTCTGTTACGAGGGTCTTAAAGGAGGACCAGTTGGCGATGGCGGTTTCGCGGTTGGTAAACCAAAGCTTAGCTACGTCTGCCAAGTAAAAGATAACGTAAGCGAGTTTAGAGTCGTCGTCCCACTTGTTGCTGACGCTTACGCGTTCGTACAAGGACAGCCAGTCTTCGACGTCTTGCTCACCACTTCCGCTGAAGATTGGTGGGTCCCGCTGGCGAGTAGCGCCGGGGCAGGTAGACGGGGCAGCCGATGGTGCTGGCTGGGCTGGGACGGGCTGGTTGGCGACTGCGTCAGTCATGTTTCGCGGTAGTCTTTCAGGCAACTTGCGAGAGCGGAGCTCCAGGTCTTCTTGGGGATCTCAGCAGCCTCCACCAAATGTGATGACGTTTATTCGAGCCGAGAAGTCGCAACGAGGTCGCAACGGAAAGTGGGCGTACGGCCAGTCTGACAAAGGCGGCACAAACTCTCGTGCAAGCAGAGCACGGGCTTTTTGTTGTCTTCCGAAGGCGCATACGCGTTGGTGCGTATGCTCCACTACACAAGGATATGTACAAGTCGGCAGTTTATCATTTTTTCGAAGACTTTGCACAAGCAGCTTGTAAGTGCAATAGGCCTATAACTCGAAGGTAAAGAAGGGTCCTTGCCCTCTTTCAAAATGGGAATAATAATAGCCTCTTTCCAGGAGGTAGGGATATTGCCAGAAAACCAGATAGCATTGTACAGACACAGTAAGGTTTTTAGTGTTTCGATTGGTAGGTTTTTAAACATTCCATACACCACACGGTCAGAACCTGGGGCAGAAGTACTGCAGGAGTTTAGGGACGTTCGCAGCTCAGCTAAACTGAAAGCTTGGTTATATGCCTCGTATCTAGTGCATTTGTGTTCGAGTTTCTGCTTTTCTATTCTTGTTCTATATTTTTGGAAACTGTCAGTATAGTGGGATGAGCTGGACACCTGTTCGAAATGTGCACCGAGGAAGTTTGCCTGATCTTCCAAGGTATCACCCTGAGTGTTTACGAGTGGAAGTGTTTGTACTTGTTTTCCTGCTATCCTACCGACCATGTTCCAGACTTTAGCCTCCTGTGTGTATGAATTGATCCCTGACAAAAACTTCTGCCAGCTTTCTCTTCTGGCCTGCCGACGCGTTCTCCTCCCTTGAGACTTCATTTTCTTGAAGGGGTCAAGATTTTCGGCTGTCGGTGAGTTCCGAAGCAGCCTACAAGCTCTGTTTTGCTGTTTGCGCGCGTTTCGGCATTCAGAGTTCCACCCTGGCACACGCCGTTTTCCAGGGTGTCCATTTGTTTGTGGGATGCATTTTGTTGCAGTATCAATCAAAAACGCTGTAAAGTAGTTGACAGCAACATCAATGTTCAAAGTACATATGTCATTCCGACCTAGACGAGCGATGGTATAAAACTGTTCCCAGTCGGCTCTATTTATGAGCCACTTGGGAACACGTGGTGGGCACTCAGTTACTGTAGTTGTGCTCAAAACTACGGGGAAGTGGTCACTTTCGTACAGATTACTGACGACTTTCCACTGGAGTAGAGGCACAAGAGATGGAGATACTATGCTTAGGTCTATGGAGGAGTAGGTGTTATTAGCGAGTTTATAATAGGTTGGTTCTTTTCGATTTAGGAGACACGCGCTCGACGAGAGAAGGAACTGTTCGATCAGTCGACCTCGCGCGTCATACCGAGAGTCACCCCATAGCCTGCTATGCGCATTAAAGTCTCCAAGGAGAACATACGGCTCCGGAAGTTCATCAATTAGAGAGTGTAAATCACGTTTTTGCAGCTGATAGCTAGGAGGAATGTAAATAGTGCAGATTGTGATCAGTTTATCAAAAAGAATTGCTCGAACAGCCACTGCCTCAAAATATGTTTGGAGTTGTAAGTCTGTGCATGCAATTCTTTGATTCACTATGATGGCAACACCTCCGGATGATGTCATGGCATCAACACGGTCCTTTCGGAAAATAACGTATTTACGAAGAAAAGTTGTGTGTTTTGAATTAAGGTGTGTTTCTTGTACCCACAGCACTTTTGGTGAGTGTTCGTGTAAGAGTTCTTGGATGTCGTCAAGGTTTCTGAGAAGGCCCCTGACGTTCCATTGTATAATTTGAGTGTTTATGGTGAATGTAAAATAGTGCTGTGTGTACGAAAAGTGAGTGGCTGTTTAGACAGGGAGTTTGAGTTCACTTAACAGAGCCGTCCCCAGGCCCTGTTAAGTGAACCGCTCTTTCGGCACCAAGGGTACCGACGTATCCATTGCCTCCTCGGAGGCCCTGGATGCCCGCACGTGCGGGCTGTTAGTTCGAATTTCGGGCCTCGCCTGGTGAGGAGAGGCCTTGAGACCGGAGGACTTTGGAGTCTCCGGTCTCTGTTTGGGAGTAGGCGGTGTAGCCTGGGCTACAGCCGCCTTCGGGGCAGGTGCCACAACCACCGGCTCGGTATGCGCGGGCCGAAGGAGTGGCGAGGGCTGGTGCGGCGGTGCCCCTTGACGCGCCGCATCAGCGTATGTAGGTCCATAGAATAGAGAGACTCTTCGCCGTGCTTCCTTAAATGTAATGTTCTCCTTCACCTTCAACGTAATTATTTCTTTTTTTTCCAGTATGTGCAGGAGCGTGAATATGCGACATGGTTTCCTTCGCAGTTTACACAGTGTGGCGGTTGTTTGCAGTTCTCAGACACGTGGCCTAGGACTCCACATTGTGCACAAGTCTGGCGACCACGACAGGTGTTAGAGCCATGGCCATACCTCTGGCATTGGAAGCAACGACGAGGGTTTGGTATGTACGGCCTGATAGATGTCTTCGTGTACCCTGTTTGAATAGATTCCGGTAGTTTACTGGATGCAAACGTGAGTATTAAGTGTTTTGTCGGTGTTTCCTTATTATCTCTTCTGATGATGATTCTCTGTACATTAGTGACATTGTGGCTCTTCCACCCCTCCTAAAGTTCAGTCTCAGTCAAGTCAAGTAAGTCCATGTCAGATACCACTCCGCGAGTTGTGTTCATTGATCTATGTGGTGTTATGGTTATTGGTATGCCACCGAAATCTGAAAGACGGTCTAGCTTTTCAAATTGTTCTTTGTCACGGATTTCGAGGAGAAGGTCTCCACTACCCATTTTGGTTACCTTGTATCCTGTGCCAAGAGTTTCGGTAAGACATCTAGAAACTAGGAAAGAAGAGACGGTCCTGGCTTGCTTTTCAGTTTTTTCACAGTGGATAACATGAAAGTGAGGATATGTTTCTTTTGGCTGGCTGAAAAAATTTATATCATCGGTGCGTACCCGCTTTAAGCCGGTATGATCAGACAGTAGGGGGAATGCCCTATGCATGCCTGTCTTATTTTTGTTCAGCAGCGTTGGCGGCCACCCACCACGGAGCCCAACATGGGGACGCTACAAGTTTGCGGATGCTGAAACCTGCAGACGCCAGCCGTACAACGCCAATATAACTCAATTTGCCTAAACCAAGGTAGGCTATTTGCACAGGGTTAACCCTAGCCGCCAGGAAGTTTGGAAGTAAACGGAAGAGAGTAGAAGACAGGACAGATAAATAGTAAGAGATAAAGACGAAGATGTAGGGGGAGAGAGATAGGAAAAGGCGACTGCCGATTTCCCCTGGGTGGGTCAGCACAGGGGTGCCGTCTACGTGAAGCCGGGGCCAAAGGGGTGTGTTGCCTCTGCCGGGGGGCCTTAAAGGTCCAATCACCCAGCATTGGATCCCCTTTTCCCCGGACATGGCAAAGCCACGCACGGCTAGGCGTGGGAGGGGATCAAAACTCCCCGTTAGCTCGGGTCCGTGGTGTCGCTACACACCAAACGCCTACTTGCGCAGGCGCCCCTGCGGGGGTGCTGAGTAATGAAACCTCTATTACAGTTTTCGTTATTGTAGATCCCATAAAAGCGACAGCAAGTTGAGCCCATCTTAGTTTTGCAGCTTCAAGAACATCTGCAAGGACACCGTTGACATTAGGCCTATTTTTTACGCGTGTCCGAAGTGGTGGCTATTGGCGTTTAGAGTTACCACACTACAGTTACGTTCACCAACTCGCCCACTTTCGAACCTGCTTAGTCATGTAAGTGCACACCTCTGTCCACGTAGTTTCGTCAGCGGGCATACAAAATCTATCACGCGTATACCCTAAAGCGTCTACACAAAAGTATACAAGTGTCTGCATCCGACAGTACGACTCCGCAAACACGTTGCAAGAGCATTCCATGGGGCGGCGGGTAAAGATACACGTCACTGGAAGTGACTGCAGCTAGCTACTATAGTGTTGTACCTTTCAGGTTTGCGGGACTGACCACCATTCTAATAATGTGAGACGTGAGCTTACTTTTCAGAACAGCCGGCAGATTTCGTAGGGCTTCCCGGAGACTTGTCCTCTCGGCTGATTCCGTAGCCTGGTGCCTGTCGCGTGGCCAGCGCTAGAACGTAAGCGCTGTCGGCCTGTCCCCTGGCTCTGAGAAATGCGGTGAGATCCGGTACGTTTCCTAGCGCCAGCATTAGTCCTACGGCCTCTGTCCGGTCTTCCTTCACAAGGAAATCGCACCTTCTGCGGGCATTCAGGTGACAAAGGAAATGAGTGGGGGAGGGGGAGCAAAAAGGGGAACAAAAAGGGAGGAAAGCAGTAGCAAGTGAAATACGAATGCAGGAAAACATGTGGCTGCACGAAACTGATGGTAGAATTACCTCTTCGTTAGGTGGCGCCAATACTGGTAAGATACTCCCGGTGCTAAGGAGAGGGCCTCGTTCCACTGCAAGTAAAAAAAAAAATCGTTTTCATGAAAGTGGAGAAACCTTTGAAAAATGGAGGACTGAACTATGCCGGTTTGGATTATACTTATACGAAAATATAGGTGGAATGGAGCATAGTGATCTAGACACGTTTGTTTTGCAATGTAAACTTGCCTTTTCCTGCAGATAAACTGTTCGAAACACTCACCCTATCACTAATTCACATATTACTGCCCCATAAGTAGTTTACCCGAGCACTTCGTTAATTTTTTTTTTGATCGAACTGCTTGAGCATGTCATATAAGCTGGCAGGAAATAAAGTGCTTGCACTTGCCGCTCCAAGTTCGGTGAGGATCTCGCAGTACTTGCGCAGGTTTCCCGTGGACAGATACAGCTGCGCCGCCTGCCGGAGGGACTGTTCCCGGCTTGGTCCACCGACACCCGTGCCGCCGAAGCGGGTCGCTGTGACGAGCTCCAACTCATGCGCCTTGGACTGCGCAGACGGTTTAAGTAGAGCAATATTTACTTCAGCTTAACTTTGATTGAGAAGGATCGATACTGACGGAAACGTGGCGGACTCATTCCTACATGGAATTCGGTGTACGTCGCCTGAACTCAATAACACGAGTACTAAGTCGTCATGCAATATCAGTTTATACATACACCTCCTCTCAAGTATTCTGCACTAGGAAGAGCATTGCGTCGAACTGCTTATTACAAAAGCTTCTCTAACTGTGTCCGTTAACATTCCTTGCAGGTTACTTGCAGACAGGAGAGTTCTTTCATTCATAATATCTTGGAGTTTACGTCCGAAAACCAATATATGAATACTAGATATGCCGTAGGGGAGGGCTTCGGAAATTTCGACAATCAGTTGTTTTTCTAACATGCATTGACGTCGCACAGTGCATAGGCCTCCAGCATTTTACCTCTAATGAAATGCGACCGCCGCAGTGATGGAGAATCGAATTTGCAACCTTCGGGTCAGCAGCAGAGCACCATGGCTGCAGCTGCTCAAGCTCGGCGGATTCTTTTAATCAGATAAGCATCTCAGTAATTTACGCATCGCGCCCCTTGATCGAGCGACACCGATTTTCCCAACTTTCTCACTACGGGTATCTTGAGCACTTAAAAGAAGGGCGAGGTATATGTTCCCATTTCAACAGGCAGAGCAGCACATGAGAAATGAGTGGCTCGTTACGCGCAGAAAAAACTGCGTGCATGTACCACTTCCACGATTTATAGTGTACGCGTGGTATTAAATCCACATCTACCTTCGCTTGGAAACAAACTTAGGTAGTGCATTTTCTAACAATATAATCCAGACGAAAGGGAAGACAGCAGTTTGCTTTTCTCACGCACGTTAGTCGCCAGTTTGCAACAGGAACGGTGTACACAGACAGTCACACATAGACTGCCGAAGTTAACTTCCATTGAGAGCCAAAGTTCCAAGAACAAAATGTCCAAGGAATGAAGGAACAAGAGATGAAGGACAGGTAGGGATGTTAATCAGTTTAGAAGGCCTAGTATGCTACCCTACACTAAGGACAGAAATGGGGGACTTTTAAAGACTGACAAATAAAGGGCAGAACTTCCGTAGTGACTGGCATATGAGAACACAAAACTTAATTGCATGTCAACGAAGCTCACGGCTTTTATCTTGACTAGATGACTGCGATGAAGCAGCTTGTGAATCCTGGTACGCCTCGGAAACTTGGGCATTTTCTCCTTTTGTGACTATGCTTAGTAGATCCCAAAGGTTGCCAACTCCCGGCGGATCCTGAAAGTGGAGAGAAAGATACGCTTTCATCACTATGATAGCTCCCCAACAAAAGTGAGCACGATCATGAAGTCTAACTCTGGCGCTAGTGGATGACAAACAAATCGCATTAAGTTTGCAAGGAGCAATTGTTCATTGACCGCTGGCCTGTAGCATCTAAGGCGCTAAACAGTCCCAATTAGTGATCTCGTTTGAAGACTGACACTGGCTAGTCTGCGCCACATTTTGTCTCCATTGCTCATGGTGAGCTCGTATGAACGTGGTCATTAAGTGTCTGATGAGGTGACGCTACACCATAGTGCACTGTACAAAATAAAGTAGGCCGAAACGGCCATGAGCTCTTTCCCTGCTGCTACGTAATTTCACATTCCTGCGGCCCGCATTGGCACCTAGCCATCCAAGCCTAGTTTTAGGCTGGTCCGAAAGAACGTACATCTCGTTTTAGTGTAGACCTGGACAATGCCCATGACGCCAGCCATAGCTTCAACTTGCTAAGGTTAATTTTTTAATAGCTTCAACGCTGCACACACTTTGCCGCACAGAGTGAGCTCGCCTTACCCTTTCTGGCTGGTATATGTGTACTCACACAAAAGAAGCTGGACCAGGCCCTTAGAGCAGCTTCGTCTAGAGACGACTTGTAGCAGTTCTTCAGCTGCCTGGCTGCCGAGCCACACAGTAACTCCTTGCCCCTCCCGAGAGGCTGCTCACCTGAACACAAGATAAAAAAAAAGATAGAGGAATAGAGGAAGAGAAGTCCGTAGGAAAACAGCGCCAACCTTGTTTTGAGAACCCGTGTTGTATTGTTGTCTTTCTGGTTTTGTCAATCACCAAGCCGATACGGGCCTTCGCGAGAAGTTAATTTTCTCTGCTGAAGCGCTGCGAATGGTTACACCGAATCCTGATCAAATTAGACGAAAGCGACGAACTAGACTTATGTATGCGCCTGTTGTCAACTTGTAATTCATTCTCAACAAACTAGCTGTTCAAAACAATGTATAGAGTACAATTAAAGATTGGGAGGAGGCATGGCTCTGGTTCACGTTATATCCATATTTTTCGTCTATCTCAATGGTCCGCCACTGCTAGTAATTGCGTGTGCATCGCTGAGCGTTTGCTGTTCGATTCGATACATACGGATCTCGCCTTTTTGTCAACGGAGCAAGATCTGGACAATTAACGTGACGTGAGTCTTGCGTGCCATCTTTAGTCTCGTTCTATTAATTCGAGTTTCATGGAGCGCTGCACCTTAAACACATTTCTCAATAACAAGAACAACGTCATACATACCACCACCACTGATTCTCAAGAGTAATTCTTAAAATGATTCAAGTATTCGGAACTATAAAGCCCCAGAAACGGACCATTTCTGACAGTGTTCCACTTTAGCTAGGTGCCGTTATCGCTGGCCAACAATACAGACATATGGGCCTCTTGTTAAAACAATTTGAATTATTCAAGTGTTAACTATTAGCAACCTAAAATAGCGAAAATGAGTGACTGCAATGGAAGGGCATATTTTGAGTAAAATTAAGGACAGTGTGAGAAGCTAGTGGCGTGGAGAGGGTGGACACAATCGCAGAACAAATTTAAACAAAAACAAGCGCGTGTCCAGATCGCATACAAAGTTTGTGGCCGAATTATCCATGTTTTGTGTGCTGGATAACATTTCTGGTAAAATAACAAAATGGGATGGTAATCAATGAAAGTTACGAATATATGTAATTGCATAAATTATATCAGTGATTTGTACAGCTACAACAGGTTCGAGCGAAATAATATAATGAAGGTCAATCAAAACTGGAATACGTAGCAACCAAATTAACAAGGCGAGAGATGCGAAAACGCTTAAACATGCATCTAGAGTGATCCAACACTAGTCTATGAATTAGATTTTTTTTTTGCTCCATAACCTTACCGAGTGACACAGCTGAACTATTCGTGTCATTGTCATGATTTACGCGTTATCAGTGTTAATAGTAAAACAATTTAACGATTTGAATGGCGGCATAGTTGTGCACGATAGTTGCATGCGAAGAGCCACGACAACATTGTGTTAGCGTGAATTGCACACCTTGTGGCGCCACGACGCAGTCCAAGTCCCAGCCGCACAAGACGCGCAGGAACAGCATGGACGCGAGGGGCAGCATGGACCAAACACGGATTGTCGAGTCTCTCGACGAAGAGGCCACCAGGAACGGTCTTCGGGGGTGACACGCGAGGGCTGCGTGAAAAAAAAATACTGAGAAAATACACTCACTAGTCACATTTATATTGACTCGAAAGCAGCCCATTGCATTTGCCAAAGCGTTATTTGCTTCCAATACGCAGCTGTTGTGCAGTGCGTAAGTTCTCTCTCTGGTTGGCATTCGGCGTCAATTGCAGGCACCATCAGACGAAAGACTGGCACCCAGATTGACATTAAAGCAATAACAGAAAGTTGCTGCTCTTAAACACTATATACACGCGCTTTTGATAAAGCCTTGATTAGAAAAAAATCTTTCGTTTCACCAAGTTACTATAATGTAGCAAAGGTAAGGGCTCGGGTACAATACGAAGCAAAACTTGACTTTTGTTGCCAATTGGCAACAAAAGCGAAGTGCGTGCATTAGAAAGGAGGAAAGCTTATTTGGGCGCTGTCGTGTCGGCATTGAACAATGAAGGAGAACATCTTGTAGTTCTGTGTTCTGCTTTACTGATGCTTCTTGTTGCAGTGCAGAGGATTCGTTGAGAGTATAGACGACGTATGGGCACTGCGCCCTTGGGCAGTTAAACGAATTTCTTTGTATGTTGTGTCGTGAATTTACAAGATAAAAAAACTTCGAACGCCAACCCAAGCAACACGCCCACAATTCGTTTAATTCAAGTTTCTAAACGACAAGGTCAACAGCCCAATACGGCAACACCTAAACTCAACCATAGAACAGTACAGGTGGTAGTATAAGAGACAGGACAGTTGATATATAAGAGTAAACACAAACAGTTATTACGATAGCAAGGAATCGAATGGTAACTATAGTGATAGATTAAAGGAACTAAAAACCGCTGCCAGGCACACCCGCATACACAAAGCTGCGGCTGCGAGAGCACCTTCACTCCAAAAAAAGAGCGAGTAAAAAGGATGTCTTTTTGTCCCACAAATATAACGGTCATCTATATTGCGTTCCATCCTTGCGCTATCACCCCGCGCCCGGTACATTACGGTCACGATCGACATGCCTATCATCAGGGTTACATTGCATTCTCGATAGGAAAGTGGCCAGCGCCGAGTTTTCGAGAAAGGAATCGCACGCAAGCCTGATGAAGATTATTGTTGTCGGACAAAAAACACCCTTTTTACTCAATATTTTTTTAGAGTGTTCGCTTACCGTAAATGTCGGCACCATGGTCAAAGAGCGCGCAGATGCAGACGCCATCGCGCGTGTCCCATAGTCGAATGGTGGCGTCCCAGCTGCCAGAGAGTAGCAGGTGGCTCAGCTCGGTGCTCCAGACAACGCTGCGAGTCAGGTCTGTGTGGCCGCGCAGCACTCGAACGGCGGAATCGCACGTGTAGTTCCAGACGTGGATGGTGCTGCATTCGGAGTAGTGCCACCACGAAACTTCTTAACGCGTTCTTATTCCGTGAAATACAGCGTGCCATATTACAACCCCGTGAAGATGATTTATCTTTCGCACACTTTTGTATAACCTGCTGGCTACAGTTGAAAGGAGTTGTCCAATTCTGCGTCACATCGTTTCGAGTGTGATTTAGCTACTGCCTGAGCTAGCTTCTTTGTTAGCCAAGATATCATGCACGTTGTCTACCTCAGAAGGAGCCTGTTTAACGGTTTGATAACAGAGTTGTCGCAACTTTCTTGTCCCAGTCAAGTTCAGATTAGCGTGACGATATGCATGATTGTTGCAGTTTCGTTGATCATTAAGTACTCAATTTATTTCCCAGTATTTAACTCATACACGCCATTGTCCTTGGAAAAACAACTACAACCAAGGGCCGTGCTATTGAAGCTATGGATCTGCATCGCGAGTCGCTTACCAGTCGTCGGAGGTGCTGCACAGCACACCGTCCCTGAGGGGCGACCACTTGACACGGAACGCCTTTTCCGCGTGTCCCTCCAGCGTCTTCAGGGGCACGCCGCCGTCCATGCCTAGGTAGTAGATGCGGATCACACTATCCCCGCAAGCGGTGGCAAAAATGCTCCTGCACACGTTAATTTTAGTGTTTTCTATTGACGTGAAAGTTGTTTGAAAGCACACTGAAAGTTTAGAACGGTAAGCGATAACGAAAAGAAACATCGCCACTCAAACGACGAAGACAGAACGAACTACACACAATGCGCGAACAACAACAGTTCTACGGTTGTTAGTAGCGCCTGCTGGAAAATGTGCCGTTCACAACGTCTCGTCAAGCTGAAAAAACAATGAACGTAAAAAAAAGATCAGTAAAATTGTTCACCGCGGGGAGACTCGTCAGCAAATGATAAAAGCGACAGGTACAGGTGCCCTCAAGGTGCACTGCAAGAAACTAGTTAACCTCCTACTAAGGGATAATGGTGCTTTGCTCACATGCGATCACCCTTCCTACAAATCGCGTGAGCTTCCACAACCAGCCACGTGAACTCTAGGCGATAGTTGGCAAGTACCTTACACGGACTAAAGTCCGGTGAGCATGTTCCACAGTGTGGGGTCAAATGCCCTTCCTGCTTGCGGCTTATATTATTTGAATATTGTCAGTCGCGTTCATGTTGAGGCACTTCCCCGCTTGGCCGATGTAAGTTCAAACCGCAGCACAAGGGAACCTCATACATTACACCCACGTCGCACTCCACGAACAGAATCGAGTGGTTGTTGATGCATGCAGCCTTATTGGGTCCTCCTCGGTTGACGAGTCTGCTAATCTTTCCCTGCTTGTTGGGGGCTGAAAAAATGACGTGGATGCCCAACCGCTTTGGTACCTTCTTGACGCTATGCGGAACCCCACGAATATAGGGAACCTCAATAGCCTTCTTCCAGTAACTTGGTTTGGCGGGGCTGCGGATTGTCCCGTTGGGAATGCAGAAGCGTCGCTGCTATGCCGTCGCCCTAGATTTGCGTCTGAGAGAAAAACGTTCCGACGCGTTGCGACAATTAGACGATCAGCCACACTGTGCAGATGCTGCTGGAGCACCGTCCTTGTTATTCGTAGGCTCAAAACACTGTCAAAAGCCCTTTTGCACTTTTGAGGACTGCGGGCCTATGTGAACGCCTTTAACTTCTGTGTAGTGCCACCTATGCACAAGCATCAACTCATTTATTGACAATTTTTTTCTCCTCTTTCCTCTCTCATTTTTATACTCCCCTTTCCCCTTCCCCCAACGGTGGGTAGCAATCCAGCCATGTGCATTGTTAAGCTCTTTGCATTCACGTTCTTCCTCTTCCTCGCAGAAAGGTTACCTAAAAGGGGGAAAGAGAATCCGGCGTAGGTCATTACCACTCGAGTCAGGAAACTGGAGTCGATCATATGCACACGTGACCGTGTGAGAGTATTACTGAAGGTGATGAGACCGATGGCCCTTTTCACTAGCTTCGCATGGGCGGAGCGGAAATGAAGGAAGCATTTGAGTGCCGGGCCTACTTCCAGCAAACATGAAATCAGAGAACTGCAAGGTTTGTGTCGAGAAATCTCTGCTCACCATGCGTCAGAACCTCAGTCGCGAGTGTGAATTCAGCTAAAGTGAAGACAGCAGCAATAGACGTACCTCGAGAGGTCATATCACAATCTGTCTTCCGCAAAAGGATCAGGAAGGCGTCAACGTACCGTATAATACTTGATGCACGCTCGATACAAAATGTTTAGCCTCGAGGCGTCGACCCATGATTGCCAAGAAAAGGTCACTCAGTAGTGGCACAAGATTGAAATTCTTCAAGTTTTACTACTGAGACCGCTAGGCAACCTCAGAAGTCATACGAGGATAATATAGGGAACTACACGACAGAGTGAACAAGACAATGTTAAAAGCTGGTAACATGAAGACATCTACTTCGAATCGCTCTAAGGTATGTACAACCTTCAAGGTTTTGTAAAATAACATGGGCCTCATGGATTCACAATTCTGCGAAGCTGCCCGTACAGTTTGCGTAGCAAGATAGCTCTTTTCTGATGTGACCTGAGAAACCGTAAGGATAAGTTATTTCGCTGTCCACGTGTTTATTAAAATGCTTTAAAATATTGCCTAAACAAAGTAACAAAACGATGGATGTACATACAAAGGCGCACAAGTGATTTTTTTGTTCTCGAATGTCGTCATTCCGCTGCATATCATGTATTTTTACTCTCATTTAGCACACGGTAGCCAGGCAATGTTCACTTTCCATAACAGCTGTTACTAAAAAAAATTCATGCTGCGGACTATGAGCGATTTCATTAGAGGGAATGTTGAGAATGCAGTGACCATTCAATTATGTGTGTTTCTTACCCCTCACTTCTGACTCCTATTTTTTTATTTCGAGGGAAGTCAACAAGGGCTTAGAACAACTCACTTACTCGTTGTTCGGATTCCAGTCGCATCCATACACAGTCTTGGGATGGTGAAATGTCTGTACAAGTTTGCCATCAGTCCGATGAATCATGCTGAGCAAAAATGTTGCTTGCTTTAATATCTAAAGAAACAAACAATACATAACGAGAACGCAAAGTGGACACTCCTAGGTAAATTTAATCCAACTTGCCAGGTTGAATCTGCTCCCGCTGAAGCTATTAATCTAGCGTCCGTTTGATTCCACGCGACGCAGTATATAGCTGTGTCTTTTCCATGCTGCATAGAAGAAAAAAAAAAGAAGGCACAGTCAGAGAAGATTTTACCGGAGAAAAAAATGGGGCCACGTTAACACGCTCCAGCAGAAGCGAACAGATACCAACATCATTAGACCATGTTTTCTCCCTCTTACGCATTGAACCCGCGTAAAGATTTTATTAACTTCTGGGGTACCAAAAAAGTTGGGCTAGTTGGCTTGCGTTCATATTGAGTCCACCGTCGTCGTCGTCGTCGTCGGCCTGACTACGTCCACTGCAGGAAAAAAGGCCTCTCCCGTGTTCCTCCAGTTAACCCGGTCCTGTGCTTGCTGCTGCCAATTTATACCCGTAAACTTCTTAATCTCATCTACCCATCTAACCTTCCGTCTCCCCCTAACCCACCTGACTTTTCTGGGAATCCACTTAGTTACCCTTAATGACCAGTGGTTATCCTGTCTACGCGCTACTTGCCCGGCCCATGTCCATTTTTCTCTTCTTCATTTCAACTACGATATCCTTAACCCCCATTTGTTCCCTAATCTACTCTGCTCTCTTCTTGTCTCTTAAGGTTACACCTACCATTTTTCTTTCCATTGCTCGCTGCGTCGTCCTCAATTTAAGCTGAACCCTTTTTGCAAGTCTCCAGGTTTCTGCTCCGTAGCTAAGTACCGGCAAGATACAGCTGTTATATACCTTCCTCTTCAGGGATAGTGGCAATCTACCTGTCATAATTTCAGAGTGCTTGCCAAATGTTCTCCACTCCATTCTTATTCTTCTAGTTACTTCCATCTCGTGGTTCGGATCCACAGTTATTACCTGCCTTAAGTAGACAGTCTTTTACAACTTGAAGTGCACTATTATCTATCTCGAAGCGCTGCTCTCTTTCGAGGTTGTTGTACATTACTTTCGTTTTCTGCAGATTAATTTTAAGACCCACCTTTCTGCTCTCCTGGTCTAACTCCGTAATCATGAGTTGCAATTCGTCCCCTGCGTTAATCAGCAACGCTATGTCATCGGCGAAGCGCAGGTTACTAAGGTACTCTCCATTAGCTCTTATCCCTAACTGTTCCCATTCTAGGCATCTGAGAGCCACCTGTAAGCACGTGGTAAACAGCATTGGGGAGAATGTGCTCCCCCTGCCTTACACCCTTCTTGATTGGTATTCTGTTGCTTTCTTTATGAAGCACTGTGGTTGCAGTTGGTCCCCTGTAGATTTATTGCAGGGTGTTTATATATATATACTTCATCGACGCCCTGATTCCGCAGTGTCTGCATGACGGCTGATATTTCTACTGAATCAAACGCCTTCTCGTAATCTATGAAAGCTGTGTATAGTGGTTGGTTATATTCTGAGCATTTCTCTATTACCTTATTGATAGTATGAATGTGGTATATTGTTGAGTTGCCTGTTCAAAATACTGCTTGTAACGTTGGTTGATTGAATTATAATGTTCTCTTTACTCTGTTAGCAATTTCCTTTGTAAATAGCTTGTATACTACCGAGAGCAAGTTGATCGTCCTGTAATTCTTCAAGTCCTTGTAATCTCCTTTCCTATGTATTAAGAGAATGTTAGCATTCTTCCAAGACTCTGGTACTCTTCCCGTCAGGAGACACCTCGAAAACAGGGTGGCTAGTTTTTCTAACACAATATGTCCTCCATCTTTCAGCAGATCTGATGTTACCTGATCCTCACCAGCAGCTTTGCCTCTTTGCATGCTCTCCAAAGCTTTTATGACTTCTATCATTACTGGTGGGGTGTCATCTGGGTTACTGCTAGTTCTTATAGTATTAAGGTCATGATTGTCTCGGCTACTGTACAGATCTCTGTAAAACTCCTCCGCTATTTTAACTATCCTATCTATATTGATAGTTATTTTGCCTTCTTTGTCCCTTAGTGCATACATCCGATTTTTGCCTATCCCAAGTTTCCTCTTCACTGCTTTGACGCTTCCTCCGTTTTTCAGAGCGTGTTCAGTTCTCTCCATGTTATACATCTTTACATCGCATACCTTACGCCTATTAATCAACTTCGAAAGCTCTACCAGTTCTGTTTTGGATGTTGTACTCGAGACTTTCATCATTTGACGCTTCTTAATGAGATTCTTCGTTTCCCGGGAAAGCTTGCCAGTGTCCTGTCTACCTACCATGCCTCCAACTTCCACTGCACACTCCGTAATGATACTCGTCAGATCACTCATTGTATCTACGCTGAGGTTGCTTTCCTCACTAAGAGCTGATTACCTGTTCTGAAGCGAGACTGAATTCCTGTACTTTCCCTCTCAGTGCTAGCTCATTGATTGGCTTCTTGCGTATCATTTTCTGTCATTCCTTCTTCAAGTCTAGGCGAATTCGAGACCGTACCATTCTATGGTCACTGCATCGTACCTTGCCAACCACTTCCACATCCTGGACGATTCCTGGGTGTGCACTCATTATAAAGTCCATTTCGTTCTTATTTTCGCCATTAGGGCTCCTCCATGTCCACTTGCGGTTTCCTCGTTTTCGGTAGAAGGTATTCAAAATCCGTAAATTATTGCGTTCTGCGAATTCTACTAGTAGCTCTCCTTTGGCGTTTCTAGTACCGATGCCATAATCTCCTACTGGCTGGTCTCCAGCCTGCTTCTTCCCTACCTTTGCATTAAAGTCTCCCACCATTATGGTATACTGTGTTTTTACCTTACTCATTGCCGATTCCACGTCTTCGTAGAAGCTTTCAACTGAAGAGTCATCATGGCTGGATGTAGGCGCGTAAGCCTGTACCACCTTCATCTTGTATGTTTTATTCAGTTTAACTACGATACTTTAATTACGAAACCTATCGCCTTTTCATTAATGCTATGGTATTTATCATTGTTGCCAGCTATGTTTCTGTGAATTAGGAACCTCACTCCCAGTTCTCTTGTGTCAGCCAAGCCTCGATAGCAGAGGACATGCCCATTCTTTAGCACTGTATAGGCCTCATCTGTTCTAACCTCACTGAGCCCTATTATATACCATTTAACATCCTCTAGCTCCTCGAATAGTACAGCTAGACTTCCCTTACTGGATAAGGTGCTAGCAATAAACGTTGCCTAGTTCAGGTTCCAATGGCGGCCTGTCCGGATCAAGAGATTCTTAGCACCTTCTGCTGCGTTGCAGATCTGACCGCTGCCGTGGTCAGTTGCTTCGCAACTTCTGGGGACTGAGGGCCGCAAGTTAATTGACGTATGCATGTGGGAGGTATATATACTGGAACAGCGCCGAGATGAATCACGAAGAAAGACTAAAGAAAGACACAGCGCTCGTGCCACTTAGTCTTCGTGATTTGCACGGTGATGTGCCAATATAAAATTTTACATACCAGAAAAAACTATATGATTATGAGCTGCACCGCAGTAGAAGGTCGCAGAAATTTTGAACACTTGTGTTTTGTATCGAATGACAAGAGCCTCTGGAACTTCGCCCTCACCGCAATGCGGGCATTCCAATTGGCATTTGATTGCGCGACCTTCTACTAAAAAGTCCAGCATCATCCTAGAACGCCACGGTTGAGTAGCACGATTATGAATTTGCATAGGGTGGCCCAATTTTCTACCTTCTTTGAATTGGCAGCTCGGTAATTGATGAGGCAGCACGTTCCAGGCAGCCTACGTATGAATGGTCAAGCTCTGTAATGCGTAATAGTGTAACTGCTAGGCCCTAAGGAACTAAGAGGTTTAAAAGATAGCTTCCGGAAAATCAGTTCCACTTGTCCTCACACATGTTTTACGGGCTCTAGCTATCTAGTATTTCGTTCTGAGAAAACACCAGATGAACACATGCGGATTGATTGTGAAGTGCGATTAGTTATTTTGGGTCCTATGGTAGTAGAGTAGCAGATGCGCAAGCCACAACGTAGTCTTCAAGGAAAACGGGGCTAGGCGCAGCTGTACTAGCTGCGTTATGGCAAATATTTCATTTTGGTAGCTTTTGAGGTAGTGGTCACGGAATAACGTGAAATGGCAAAGAGCCTCTACGTATACGTGAAACAACTGCAACAAAACCTTACATCGAGGATTGCTTTCTTCGGTACATTCTTCACGGTGTCCCAGATGAGGAGCCCATTCTTGGCGGTTCCCAAGGCGACGCAGTCTTGTCCAGACGGAGCCCAGGACAAGCAATAGATGGTGCTGTTTCTTGGCGGAGAAGACATGACCTGGCGCGAAATAAAGTATGACACTAAGGCCAAGTATAGGCGTTCCTGTTAAAATGAAAAATTTGGGCAATAGTTTGAATGTGGTGGCCTCGGAACTGATGGAATCGTACCATACAAAGAAAAAAAAAGCAGGAAGCGTGCCCACAATACTTCGGTGGTGTTGCGCAATAAGTAATGAAAATTTTCATACACGTTTTACGCAACATTCAGACGATATATCCTTTGTGTGGGTGGTCATGGTGGGCAGTACGCTTGCGCATGCGAGCTGAACAGTAAGCAGGAAGTTTTTTTTTTCACAATAGAGATAGCTTTAAGTCGGCACTTGTCCTCTGCCTGGCGTGCTCTTCTATGTCCTGTACCAAATTTGTGCTCGACAGTTTAGCATTGTAAACCCGCTGAATCAGGAACAATTTCTCTTAAGCAGGTGCTATAATGTCTTGCAGCCCCATCAAAGAAGAAAGCAGCTCGCCTCCTCGAACTTCACAATTGTCTCTGAACATTTGGTTTGTGCCTGAAAGCTTGAGTATTCCTGAACATGAACACTACTTTATTGACTCTCTGCCCCTCAGCATGCAGTGAAAATCTCTCAGGCTCAACAGAACGTCTGCATATGTTTATCGAACATAGAACACGTAATTCGTACGTACTCTTTTGGCTTTCACACATTATCGTATTTAAGGAAGTCGTCAAGCTTAGTACACTCACAGCTTTCATTGTTTCCATGTTCCAGATCTTCAGTGTACCATCAAAACCGGCAGTGGCAAGAAGGTTGCAGTTGTCAGGCTTGAACTGGCAGTCGAATATCGTCTCGGTGTGGGCCTGAAATAACCATTGAAGTCGTCAGCATTTTAGCATCCTAGAATAATAAGCCAAATTCATGACTGGGAAGCTTTTATGAACCAAGATAGTGCTCACTAGAAGCACGCCTAGCTTCACGACATTGTATTTCATAGAGAGACAACTTTAGCTAAGCGACGCGTGTTTTGTGGTCGTAACGTAATCCACGAGTGATATCGAAGTTCCGAATTATTCGTACAAGACACTAAAGCTTTTCTTGGAACTCTCCCTCAGCATGTGAAAACGTTCTTTACTATTTCCTACCTGTCACATTCGAATTTATACCAACGTTCTCGTTCTCCCGGTAATCAGGCTAACTTCGACGTATGAAAACATTTTCGAAACAGCAAAACGAGATTCCCTTGCAGTAAGCTTTAGTGATATAGCATAAAGGCTTCAAGAAGCAGTCATATTCAATAATTAGGCTCTTAGGGCATGTACAAGTGGCCTTGACATGGTCATCCAACAATTAGGAGCTTTTGAAGAAAAGTAGAAGTAAACGCCCTATTTTGCCTGTAGATATGTGGAATATAGACTGTGAAATAATTTTTCGGTCCAAAATAAACCCCTAAATGTCGCCGGCAATATGCCCCGCCCACTTCCGGTGGCCGTCACTTTGCCGGAACGAGTGTGACGTCATGTGTGGCATGAAGCGGTACCGTTGCCTTCTGCCAAAGTTTCCTCAACTGCTGATCGGTCACTTTAATACCAAGCTGAAGAAAGCGGACTGACTCGACTGCATGCACAGCTGTCTAGGAAGTAATTTCATTCGTTGGTATACAGACCTTCGCAGTGCTAACAGGTAGTTACGTGACAGCTCGTGAGTCAGTTTTGGCCGACTCTAGCCACTTATATTTATAAAAAAATATTTATTCCTAAATTAAGTGCTTGACCAGACGCGCTGAAATTTCATCGCCTTTTTGTGAACACGAAAGAATCAGCACACATGACGTGTAGACGAAGAAAGTGCTTAACAGCGCAAACGGCAGGAGGGAATAGAAGAGACGAGAACAGAGTTCTGATAGGGGTGACGACCGCAAAATGCGTGTCGTGGTTCCTATCAGAACATGTTGAAGTTACATAATTGTGTTATACGCAGCTTTTTGGCAATAGCATCCATCGTGATCAACAAGAAAACAGTGCGTGTTCACAGCATAAGATACAGCCGCGAATAGTGTTCATTGGAATAATTTTTTGCAGACACGATTGGGAATTGAAAAAAAAAAAACGTGGTGTCCCTGTATGCGTCCATTGTTGAGGCTCTACAGAGGCTCCAGTAAAGTTATGCGTAACGGTAGTTAGCCATCGTATATTAGCACTGAAAAAAAAAAGCTCGTGCTATAAAGTTTGGAAGCCAACTCGTGCTTTCTTTTTCCTAAGCTATGAAGTTAGTCGGCTTTTATGTCCCGGTAGAGGTTCCATTCCAGCTGTCAGAGCACCATAAGAAAAACAACATAGGTTGTCTAATAACATTAGGATTAAGCCACGATATATCGTGCATTAATCTTAATGAACGCCCAATCGTGGGATATGAAAGAAGCCAGGATTCCCAACGGAGCCCACGAAGAAAGTTTTCGTGAACCAGTGCCGGCAATTACCGAGCGTTTCGCAAAACAGTTCTCCCATAGCAATTGGTAAAGACTGCGGAGCTGCGCTCCGTATGTTTTTTAAAGGAAAAAGCTGTACTGAAGGAGCAACTCCGGCAACAACATGAGCCTACGTTGATGTGCACGCTAGTTAGTGACCATGGACGAATATCTCGAAGATTTACGTCGCACAATTGTTCGGGCTCTGAAAATGTTGAGTGCCTTCGCATGGCGCTCGGTACAGTATGATGACGTACAACATATTGTGTGCTATGCGAGTTCATTCTCATACAAGGTGAATAAAGATGTTCTGGAACAGCTTTATGCTCTCCCATGGTGGAGTAACACGTACTACAAATCGTTAAACTTTTTTTCTGAACGCATTCCTGCATGACAAATTTTTCGCAACTATTTGCATACCATTACGATCTATACGTCCTGTCCGCGGCATTTCAACTGAATTATCGCGGAATATCGGCATGCACCTTTCAATCGAACTTAGCACTGCATTGCGTGGCTTCAAAATGGATGTGGTTCAATCAGCTCGCGCGCTTCTTATCGCAAGTATCTGCACAAAAAAAAAAGTTGAGTAGCGCCTACGAGATATACTACAGTGCTTCTTTTTACGTGTACCGTTTTGTTTTTTTGATGGTACGATTATGTAAACCTATTATACGACTTGAGGCGCTGTCTTAGTCATTACTTCAACTTCGCACCTGCATTACGCCAAAACAGCAATAACCACATCACGCTGCTGGCCATCACCACGTTTCACCCACCATCAAGTTTCACCCACCATCTCCCGCAAGAAGTCCCACGAACGTCGGCGAATGTTGTATAGACCGACTGCGCCGTCTGAGAAAAGGCACAACACTCGCACGTGCGGCGGAAGGCGAACCCCGCTGCCCGCAGGCTGTTGCGACGGCGCACACTCGGCCGAAGGCACTGCAGCCGAGGCGCGATCCCTGTCCGGGAAGCTGGTGCAGACGCATAACGTACGAAAACCACTGCCGTGAAGCTGCAGGTTCTCCAGTGGCGTGTTGCGGGAGACGTTCCACACGCGCAGCGTCCCGCACATCTTATCTGCAATTAGGAACAGCGCCGGCAGGCATGAAAGTACTACGCATTCTGTGCACGAAACGACATGCTACTATCACGCCCACAGTGAATCACCGTATTTTCTCGCATATAATCCCGCCTCTGCATCGTACTCCTAACTTTACGAAAGCTCCCATGTATATAACCCGTACACTCAAGTTCGAGGCGTATTTTCCCGTTATGCTTTTATTTCGTACAGTTTATATACGGCATCTCCACTGCAGGTTGAAAGCCTCTCACAGAGATACGCATTGAAGCGTGTTGCAACAAAAGCATTAAGTACAAAATTTTAATATGTGATTACCACCAATGATTTTATATTTCTTTCACTGACGTAACACACACGCACACACAAACGCTGGAAAGTAAGCTACGTTACGAGCGGCTATCCAATCAACATGACATTGCAGAAACAAAAACAAGACTTCAACAGGCCTCGGGCCTGACCAAACGCGCAACCTCGATATTTTTTCAACCAGGGACCGTTCACCGCTCACATCTATACTTTCTAAATCAAACAAATTTCTAACTGTATTTTTCATACCATGACCTAGCTTGCCCAAGGATAGACTTCGAAGGGAAAAGTTGCCAACAATAGACATTGTATATATAAAATTGGCCCTCTTCCTCTATCCTAGAACTATTTATTGAATAAAACAAATAAAGTAGGAAAGAAAGAGTAACGTTACAGCTGTTTGATTCTGTATTAGACACGTGGCATAGTAGATGGGTCAAGAAAGGAAAGAAAGTTTGAAATAAAAAAGCATTGCTATGTTAACTATAGCAAGAATTGTGCGTTTTGTGTCAATCGATTACGATAATATGATTAAATCGCAACTGGGATTTTTTACGGTGATCAAGGGTGAAAAGTTATCCAGACTATTTGACCTATGGACCGTCCAAAAGGTTTATTTTTTCAGGTTTCCATTTTGTTTTCACATAGACGGCTTCAGCTTTTAATCAGTCAAGGGTCTTGAGCACGACTTGCTTTAGCACAACAGTTTGTGCTCGTGATTTTGTATTTATTCCGTATGTCACACTTGAAATAGATTGATTGAGAAAGCCGCCCATGTCGTCTTGTTCATTTCACCCTTCGTGCTTACTTTCAGTGGCAACTATTTTGTACAGCGAGTTCCAAGTAGGCCATAAACAAGTTATCTTGTTAAGACTAAGCCATCCTTGACAGGTCTGATGCGGAGAAACACTCCAATCTTACGCTGAAAGTTTAGAACGCGTCACGAAAGTATTATATGTTTATTAAGGCGAAACTCCTTAAGACCTCACGATGTCCTGCCGTCTCCCGTCTGTCCGTAACACCAAGTAACCTTCAACTTATAAGCAACAGAGGGCGCTGTGGTTATTTGTAGATGTGATGGCGCTGCTGTCAACGCTATATATGTATAACCACGTTCCATACCACACATTCTCTTCTCTCATATGGACGTAGACGAACGCAGGAAAGCGCGACGTGCTGAGTATCAGCGTCGCCGTCGACGGAAAGCTACCGCGGAGACAGAGAAGGAAGCGGATGCAAAGCGGCGACGGCGACAACAAAGTTCTACACCACAGACTAGGGCTAAGGAAGCAAAGGCTAAGCGGGAAAAACGCCAAGCTGACGCGCAGTTGAGACAACTTGAAGCAGATGCAAGGCGGCAATACCGACCAGAAAATTCTACACCAGAGACGATAGCTAATGAAGCTGTGATTATGAAGTCAAAACGTAACCTGGAACTCGGAACCCCATATCAGCTATAAAAAAGAATCATCGCTATATCACAATCGGTCTCAGCACTATCTCTTTGAATAAAAAAATATATATAAGTATCACAACCACAATCAGTCTCAGTACTATCTCAACTTTAATCACAATAATCACCTCCGAAAGCTTCGCCCCATAATTATATTCAAGGAGCTTGAAATGCAGTGATTTTTTAAGTACTCAGCTTGAATGTGGTGACTCTTCCGACCTACAAGTTGGTAAATAAAAAAATCATACTTCAAAGTTTAAAGATTGAAAACTGCTAAAACATTTGGACAGCAGCGAGAACGGACGTCTCCCGTATGACTCGCGCCATTAGCAAATTTGTGCATGTGGTTACGCGCGTACTTTTCGTGAGAAGTTATTTTGTGTTTATTGCTTGAAAACTGCAGTAGCGGAGAAAGTCGAATTTCAATGTCTACTTTAATGCTTACAACGTGAAGGCAGCCTCGGAGCACAGAAGGGCAACTTCGAAAGACTTACCCAAGGCGTAGTACAAGAGTTACAAAGTACGAAGCATTACTTAACCTTGTAGCATGGTAGTGGCATATTGCATAGGTCATGTTACTCTTGCTCCGCCCCTTTCCCTTGTTGGTTTGTCTTTCCGCCTGAATTATCTTGACCTTTCCCATCTTTACCCTCTCCTTAGTGTAGAGAAGCAAACTGCTTGTTATAATTTTGGTTGATCTTCCTCTTCAGTTTATGCCTCGAACGTAGCATTGAAAGTAATGCTTCCATGTAAACACAGCGTGTAATTACGGAGGTGAAAATATGTCGCGTACCTCCCGTGAGGAACATGCCAGCCGCGTCGGGAACCCAGGCGAGTCCGGCGATGGTGGTGGCCCTGCTGGGACAGGCGTACGTGGCTAACACCTGCGGCTCGCCCGACGTCGTCCAGTCGAGCAGGAACAGTTGCCCGCTGGGGAGCCCGGCGAGAAGGTAGCCCGACGACTGCTCGTCCCAGCGCAGTGCCACCACGCTGCGTGGGTCCGCGTCCTCGCTGTCCTGAGGCTCGTCGTGAAGCAGCCGCACGTGCTTCTGGCAAAAACCACCTGCTCGAGAAAAGACCCGGGAGGGCCGTGTTAATGGTCGACATCGCAACTGCTGTGCTCGGCAGGGTGATTTGGTGACAAGTAACGGGATTCAACAGCGTTAAGACAGCATTTGCGTTCACGAAACAGTGGCAATGCTATTACTGAAACCTATCGAAAAAAAGCTCAACGGCTGGTAAGCAAAAACAACACATTTAACAGACACAGAAGTAAAACAATAAATCCGTTTTGATTGGTAAGTTGTGCATGAGGTTAGTTTTACCATCACATGTATTTTTACAGAGGAGAAAAGGAAGGTGAAAGCTTTATTTCTCAACATTGCACCAAAATTTCAATTTCGACGGATTTCAAAGGAGATTATAGCGCGAGTGCTTGTGGGCGAAAAACCATGAAAGATACAAATGAAATAAAGAACTACAATTTTTGAAGTGAGAAACTCGGGCCGTCTGCATAGAACGTGGAGTTTCGTCACACAGAGTTGCGTTATTTGTTGACAGTGCTTGAGAAAAAAGAGAGCACTATATGAACGGCGTGTAATAAAAGGAGTCTCCCTAACACCTGTTGTATTGCGTGGCACAGGCATACAATCCGCGAATAGTTCAACAAGGGGGTAGTTTAAGGCTGCCCATCTAATACAAAGTGAGCATATACGGGAGTACACGTGGCAACGTATACGGATAAGCTGTGGGTGCCTCAGTAATTAACAAAAAGAAGCATTAGGACGTAGCGGGAATTGAGTCGCAACTGTAAATTCAGTAGATAATCTATATAGGATAGTTTGAAACGGCCAATGCTACGCGCCCAAGCCTTGCTATCCTTCCAGAGTGACTGAATACATTACGCACAGGTTCCGATTGCGCTATTGCGTTCTACTGGCAGTCGTGAAACAAGCTCAAGTGCCGTCCATGCTTTTCGGATTTCTATAATGTTGGCTCATTGAAACGAAGCAAAACTCGATATCTTAAATCTGTGTTCCTCCTCAGAAGACAGTCTACTTAATTTTTACTGTTTAGAAACTACCTAGGCTCTAGTAGACGGCGCCGAAATCTTTGACGTTACGATAACTAGTGCGAAAAAATCAAGGTGGCATTAACAGCCGCATTTGGTTTTTGTGCGTTTTCTCGCTTACGAAGTGTCTTACTAAGCCGTGGTATTGTTACCGTTGTGAAAAAGTAATTCGCCGATTTTAGAGATCTTTTTTCAAGGGCTGAGCTGTTCTAGCCGACCATTAGTTCGCTCAAAGTGAAAAAAAAAAAAACGATCGTTATGAACCAGCATACGATCTCTCGTCCTCTTCATATTTTTTTCCGCTCCCAGAACACGTGCACCGATTCGTCTCGTTTGGGATGCAATCAGGAGCCGGACAATCTGAGCCAGCGGCTCCGCACAATTTGGATTGCACGGGTACGCAAGAACCTACACCGTCCAGGCACCTCTCAAGCATGGAGAACTGGAAACTTTCCTAACTAGCCTACCAGGACCGACATCTAAGCTGCGGAATTCGTTACGCTGGACTACAGATGGACTCAAGCATTAATACTGCCTATGCAGTAAAGTTGCATTACTCTCTTACGAGGAATCCATTTCCTAAGACATCTTTGATGTTAGATAGCAGGAGGTTACCGTCCTGCCGGCCAATTTGTTCTTGTTGCGCGAACTAGGATGTTCACCTTTCTCAGATGCAGGCCAGTGGTGAAGTGGATGATGTTCATTAGTGTAAACCCTGATAAGCAACCGCGCCCCCAGGTAATTGCTTACAGAGGCTCACCAGAAAGCTCGGGTGTAGACCATCCCAGGCTGTGTACAGGGTCACACCACGCCACTCTTTTTTAGATAGAGAAAGAATGAATGCGAGAGAGAAAGAAATAAGCAAGGAAGAGAAAAAAGAATAAGGCAGGTTGCCTTAGCTCCACCCTTCTTTCAGGCTTAGGAACGCTATATAGTGAGAACATGCCTTAACTTTTTTTTTAACAGCGAAGTTGTTTCAGCTAGCCGTAATTTGTGTGTGTGGTCTGCCGAGAATCGGTCAGTGTCAGAAACGTGAACGTGCCACAAAAATTTGGTAAGTCCAACTACCCACCATTGGTCCGCTTGAAATGATGAACATATAACAGTTCAACTGATGGCTGCGAAGCGACGGCAGCAACCGAATATGAGCCGAGTACGTACAATGAGAAACTACTACAAAAGGGAAGGGCAACGGTTGCTGTGAAAAAAGCTGAGGTGATGGAAGGCATACGCCAATGACGACAAGCCCGTAGATTTATTAAAGACGCGAACGCTTAGTTTCAGCGTGAATTTCCGTCTCTGGAGTTTGGCCATCCATGCCGTGTCCATGTGGTTTAACTAGAACCTCTTTTCCACGTAGATCGACGTCGGAACAACCAAGCATCACCTAGATAAAGCCTGAAAATAACGTAAAGGCAACCAGATTATTTTTCAGAATTTTCCAGGTTCCCTGGTTTAAGCCTTGAGAAACTTCGTGTAAGCTCCACGAATTTCGTCATTATTAGCGTCACTTTAATGTCCACGTTCTTTTGGCGGTGTGTGTCCTACACAGCTTAGAGATTGCCGAGAAAATTTGGACCATCCAGCCAGCACGAGAAGGTCAAATAGGCGAAATTTGGTCGTAACAATGCGAGTAACCTCAGCCCGATTATCAAGCTATACCCAATATAAGTGTTTAAGGACGTCCAACACAATTTTCGCCTACCAACCTAACGAAAAAGACGCGAACCAAGATGTTAGATATAACGTCAGAGATGAGAAGTAGCGAACAAAGCATATCGCTAGGTCTAAAATTTCGACAATGAGACTGTCGTATAGCTTCGGCAGAGGCTTGACGGCGGCAAATTATGTTTTGTGCACTTTGATTTCATTTGTAAATAGGAAACGACAAAGAAAATCGGAAAAGCGTGGACAGTGAGAGCACTGCGGTGACTCTCAGACATGCAGGCATCACTTTTAGAGAAATTTGAGATAAGAGAGCTGCACGAAAGGGCCACTTGTAATGAGATTCCTTTCATTCTCTTCCATCCCTATTCATTCCAGTTCCGCACGTGCCGTAACCGCAGCTGACGCACCAAAGTGGCTGGATTGCCATGCCCACAGGATTATTAGCTAGAAAGCCGAAACCGTGCCGGTAACTACCAATAGGCAGCAGATGTATTCCGCTTATGTGAGAAGGTTTGAGAAGGCATTCGGCCGTGCTTTACCCCTCTGTAATAGATGAATGGCTGCACTTTTCCTGACCCGCATGTGAAAGGTGCACCCGCTTGTTTGCTCACTGTCTCAAAGGTTCTTGTGATCCTTCAAAGTGATCTCCTCCCTCCTCCCCGTCATCCCGCTATGTATACATGGATAAACCAATGAGCGTCAATTTTAATCCGTGCGAGGTAATAAGACGCTGCGCTGAAGCATCTTTACACTCTTTTCTTGTTTAGTGTTTTGTAAAACTAACTGACCAGCGAAGCCGAGTAAGCCACCCGAAAACATTTTGGTGTTTACAACTCTGTTCAAAAACACTCATGAATCAGTAGGTGCCCCGGCAGATGGGTAAGTCAATATAAAGCGACGCCGGCGAGTCGAAGAGCCGGAGTACGTACAATGAGAGAACTTATAGGGGAACGGAAAAAGCGACGCAGGCTGCGAAGAAGACGCCGAAGTGGTAAACGGCCAACACGAACAACGAGGTTCCCGTTGATATGGGAAGTGCGAGAGCTCGGTGTCAGCACTAGTTTCTGCAGTTTGGACCTATAGCATCACCTTAGCCAAGTGCTGGCGACAACCTAGGAGCGAACAAGATTACACTTCAAAATCATCCACTTCGCTATTTGAAGCCTTGTACGACTTATGAGCGTTAAATTATCTATACGAGTGAATAGTATTGCTTGACACAAACATGACAGAAAGCAAGGTATACTGTTTGCCTAGATACGCACCGTTCTTGCCGAGTATAACAAAAGAGGCAGTGTAAAAAAAACAGCACGTGGCTGATCACGTTCTTGCTCGTTTTTCCAATTTATCGTTTTTACTACATTAAGGAAGACTTGTTGCAGTTTATTGATGAAGATTAAATACTTGAAGTGATAAGATATGGACAAAAAATCCACGCATCTCCACAAAGTGAGTCATGACGTGTGGGCGAAGCTCTGTGTATTGTATGGGTGAGTAGCCATACGTTACCCGAGCGGTAGCCCATATATGTAAACTCAGTGACAAAGAGCCGACGACAAAGCTATGTCCTGAAGTCTATATGTCTACCTTGAAGTCGCCGACTACCATAGAGTGTGTGCTTGTAGGTGTTTTGTATTGTTCTGCCACAATTATGATACATGTTCTATTGTGAACTTTTAAACACGATAGCGTTAAAGAGCTTGTTCCGCAGACATCTCTGCGTCGGTGTTGGTGATTGAGAGTGAAAAATGTTGTTCGTGATTGAAGATTCAAGATGGAAATAAAATAGATGATCAATTTGAGTTCGCGTGTTGATCAAACCCGGATCGTTTGCGTGGAAAGTGGGTGTTCTATCACACAGCCATCACTATGCTTTTTTTCTTTATTGAATAGAAGTACTGCAATCAAATGCCACATATCTCTTCAGCATTTCTTGTCAATGCCGTCAAAATAACTTCCTCGCTTGGAAACACAGTGAAGGTAACCTTCGTGCTTTACAAACGGACGTGCCCTGTATACGTGCTTCACAATACAACAAGAAATATTGCGTCAATAATGTGTGATACAAGCGCACATTGCCATCGGGCATCAGAACATGCGATTATCATAATGACTATGGTTTAAAGCCGGTTTAAACCCACTACAGCAGGCACACACGCTACTGCGCCTATTCTCTTTAAGCCAAGTAGTGGGTGCATAGCAAGTTCGAAAAGATTTCATGAACTAGTACGCGCTAGGCACAAGATATTGCTATCGCATTCCAGCGTTCAACTCTTAAGCATCCACTAATTTTTATTCACATACAGACTCGTGTTTCGACTGTA